GTTGCTTCTGCCTATTCAGAAAGAAAATATGTATATGGCTGTGTACAGATGTATGCACCACCCACCACAGCAGACCCCGTGAAAGCCTAGTCCTCTGTGTTTTGTTTTTCTGTCCAAACCTGAGCTTCTATATGGATTCTCCGATGCCCAGAAAGGCTTGAGGCATTTCCATCAGTGGGGCATCACCCAAGTGGTCATCCTCTATTTATCCCTGCTATTTCCATGACGCCTGTGAAGGTATCTCTAGGTCCTTTTCCCCTCTCCTCTGGGCAGCCAGCTGCTGCAGAGAGAGGGCAAAGTAGGCAGGCAGAGCTGTACACACAGGCTTGCACGAATGCAGAGAGGCAGCACCATCACCCACCTTATATCTTTAGGAAATCAGATTAAAAAGCAATCGACTCTTTGCCAACTGTAACCAAGTCTGAACCATTAGCTGACACTGTCTCCACCCGGGGAAGAAAACCTCATTTGGAGAATGCAAGTACTTTTTAATCACAGAGCCTGGAAGATAGTTCTTCTCAGCAAAACAACAAGTGCTCTTGTCTCTCTTGTCTCTGGATTTTCTCTAGCATCTTTCCCCCTGTATCTCTGCAAACTCATTATTTTTAATTTTTTTTTTTTTTTTTTTTTTTTTTTTTTTTTTTAAAGCTGTGCAGCACCAGGAATGTATCACAAAAATATGCATGAGCACACATTCTTTATCCCTAGGCACTTGCAAATGTAACAGAAAATAAGCAAAAGGAGCATATATTTTAGTCCATCAACCTGAGCATTTACAAGGCCTCCATCGCTGTGCCATCCAAACAGTTTGTTAGTCCCAGGATTTTACTGTGCCATTATTATTGGTTTATGAAATTCCATTTTTGTTAGTCCCAGGACTTACATGTGGCTTTTTTATTATATTATAAAATTTCATTTCCTGTCATCTGCTGGGATTAAACTTTGATGGGAAGACAAGGGTTTAACAAGGCTTGTGGTAACAAGCCTGACCCCAGAAGGTGAGGTGTAAACCCCTCCACCTCCGGCAGGCGGTCAGGGAATGCGTGACACCAACCCCAGGGATGGAGCAAGCAGTGATTGAGCCTGGGATGGTGGCCTCCTTACTCCCATGCTGTCTATCCCACCTGTAAAACCCATTCCCCTGGGACATGGCAGTAAACCAAAGGGCCCTGATTCACAATTTCTTGCTTTGTAAGATCCTATTCCTCTTCCCACAAGGCTCAGAAAGCATCTCAGCTGCACCTCTGCATATATCACCCTTAAACAAACAGTTGCAGCCCATGTCTGCGATTTCAACGCTTCTCAGTTTTTGCATTCACTTTTTTCCCAGTGGTTTCCCCTCCGCTGCCTCCGTGTTGCCCATGTAACACCACATTTCACAAGAAGGCACTTTGTTTGCCATTTTCCTGCAGCCTCCATCACCCCAGCTCTGGTGATCCCCCAGCAAACCCCCCAGCTGCTTCAGCCCACCCCTATCTCCCCCCCAACCCCCAGCTACGGGGGCCAAAGTCGACAGGCAGCCAGAAAGGGGATCAGACCCCTGCAATCCCGTGTTAACGAACACCCTCCCTGGAGGGAGCAGGGGAAGGCGAGGGGGATGGCAGGGAGCCAGCCTCCGCAAGCTCAGCCGAGGGACGCCGAGGAGCTGGGAGCACAGCACGTCAGAGAACCCTTTCACAAGGAGCTTTTGTTGATGCCATCGCTCTAGCCCATCCTCAGCGCAGGCTTTTCCACCCCTTGGCTGTTGGCTGTATCAGTAGCCGGGTCGTAGCCAGAGCGGTGGCTCTGCCAGGACTCTCATGCAACGCTCCGAGGGTGTGCTACCAGCCAGAAGAGGACAAACGTGGACACGCCATCCTCTCATAGTCCTCCCCCAGCCATGTGCCCCGAGACACAGTGCCTTTCTTTTCAGCAAAAGCAGCTGGGATGTTGGACACTTTGCAGTCCATTAGTTCATTTTTAAGACTGGTGGGCAACCCAGCGGGCTGGCCCAGGGGGACTTTCCAGCTCAATGTGACATCCAACCTTGTCAGTCCAAGTCCACCTCTCTCTTTCTAGGAGATAAACCATCTGCTTAACACTAGGAGACACAAAAGGAAAAAGATGTGCTCAGAGAGATTCATGAGGTGCTCTGGGTAGCATGTCCAACATGAGCACACAGTGTTCTGCGTCCCTGACAAAAACAACAGGAAAAACCTGCTCCTGCAAGCCTGCCAAGCTGGGATCTCAACAACAAGTGGCAACATATCAGCTGGCGACAAACAGCTCTCCTGATTCACAGAATGATGCACTTTCCCATAAAGGCTCAGCGTTTGGATTTTTTTTTTCTCCTTAGTAAATGATAACATGATGGGTCATGTACAGGATGGCTCCTGCCTGGGAATTAACTGATAATGAGGGACCCAGAGGAAAGCGCCAGCTAGGGAGATTTGGAGGTGGTCACCAGCTGCACTGTCCCACACAGGGTGTCAGAACAAGGTAGGACCTGTTTGTGAGCCCCCCGAAAAGCAGCTCAAGACCAATTAGTAAAGTGATTTGATGATCTGGACAAGGGCATCACCTCATGAACAGAAAACCTTGAGGGAGGAGGAAAGGAAGAACAGCCCATTAGCTGAGTGAAAGCAGAAACACCAGGGGAAGAGACACCAAGCACAAACACAAGCTTCAAAGCATCATTGCCAGATTGGGACCAACTGCAACAACTCAGATGAGATGCTAAAGCAATCAAAGGAGAGAGTAACACTCTGGACCCATGGGTCTGCAGACCAGCATGGAAGGAGATTTTAGAAACTGCATTCTGTAAAGCGTGCAGGGGACTGTGACATTTCTTGAGGCTGTGAGAAATACATCAGCTAGATCTGCCGAGGCAGGCCGTAGCCAGGGTACCACCATCCAAGCCACTGCAGGTGAATTGAAGAGTTGCCTCTGTGTTATGGATTTAAGTGGTGATGTTTAGTGGCAAGGCTGGTGCAAAGAAGGGAGATAGAGGCTAAAGATGCAAAGCCTGATGGCATGGCCATCGACAATGGTGCTATGGCTAAAGAAAAAAAGCATAGGCAGAAGAGACACTCTGGAGAATCAGGAGGCCTAGAGCTGGTAACATCATGTGCTATGGAGACTGTCCACAGGGCAGGAGGATCTGCAGCCTCCAGCTGAGGCAGTATGAGTAGGCTGCCCACAGTCATGCCTATGACACTTGTGACTTAAATGTGTATTTACTTGTGTTTTAAATGTGTATTTAAATTTTGTCAAATCCATCTCTTCAAGCAATGCCATCAATAAAACTTTTAGAAACTCTACAGGGTTATGGTTCCATATCAGAGCTGGAAGAAATACAGCATGATGAGGAGGAAAGCAGGCTTTTCCGGCTAAATGTTTTTGCCTTCCAAAAACTGCACACACAAGGGCCCATCACAACACCCCTCTGGTTTCTGGGAATGCAGAATATCCACTAACACGCTTACCCAAACACCTCTGAACACATACACACATCTGTTCACCAAGGCTGATTACTCACATAAGGTTCATTCCTCTTTGATTCTTCCATTAGGGTCAGAAGTTACTTTTCCTTTTTATATTTCTATCTCTAGACCCCATCAGTGGCAAATGCTCAAGCACTTCCAAAGTGTTCTGACAAATCCCTCCAGCAGGCACGTAACATCATCCCAATTTTACAGATGGGGAAATTAAAGCAGAGACAGAGGTTAAGACAGCTAATTGCCTACGGACACTAAGTGAGTCAGTAGAAAAGCTGGGAATTGATCCCAGGAACCGTGTCTTCCATTCCTCTACTCCACCCACCAATCAGTACACCCTACCAGATGGTTCTTATCATTGGACATATGGACTGAATATTGCTAAGTTGGTGTAGAAGATTTGCTATTTAATTAAGTGTCCTGTCTTCCATCTCCATAGGATGCATAGGGGACACTCCAGCCAGAATCCCATCTGGACCAACTCAGAAAAAGTCTCTATAAAGCAAACAAAGCCCTAGGCAAGCACAAAAATTGTTCCCAAACCTATCAACCTGCCCTGCAACACAGACCCCAGCAAGGTTAGGAAATAGGCTGAAACTCAGGAGCCTTGGAAGAAGCTCATGTTTGTCAAAGTCTGGCTTCAAATGATGTATGAGCCACCAATTAGGCTGGGAACTACTGTGTCATGTGAAGGCTCTTCCTCCAGCCTTCACTGGGCACCACCAACGCTGCCCAACTGGAGATACCAGCAGACTCACAAAAAGCAGATGGCACAGAGTCATCTACTTTCTTCTGGCATTAGCTCTCTCACATCACAGCGCTGGTGTTGGTAGGACAGAGAGACCAGTTCTGCCTGGCAAACATCAGACGCCTTCTCGCTTTCCAGTCACTACCAAGGACACTTGAAATAGCTCCTGAAGTGGTTATTCATGATGCAGAGGAGGAAACCTTCCAACAGAGAGGCAGCAGAAAGAGACTTTCCACATCACTGAAAGACAAGTCAGCAATTGCTTTCCCAGCATGGACCTCACGAACTTACAGCAGTGTCTTGGTCCCCATTCACAGATAGGCACAGAATGGTGCACCTGCCTTTCCAACAGAACCCAAACCAGTTCACATCCTTCTGTTCCCCTTCGCACCCTGTGCTCAGCACCCAGCAAGACGCAAGGGAAAACCCAGGCATCATCAGGTCTGCAAAAAAGATTTCATCCAAGAACATGCTCTCCTGAGTGCAATGCACGACCCAAAGCTCTTATGGGCAACCTGTTGATGCAGTTGTGTACTGATAAGGAAAACACATGCATACTTCTGCCCAGCAGAAGCCCATGCAAGTAAGAACCATCAGCATATACATCTCCATTACTTTCTCAACAAACAGAAGAGGGTTGGACAACATTCTCTTTAGAAAGCTTTGCATCAATATTGACAATGTAGGAATAAAACCACAACACCTTTCCACGTGTGCTATAAGAGCCGGGCAATCCTGGAAGGTGCCTCCTGATAGAGAAAAGCGACTGCACGTACCTTTCATCCCAAACTTGGACCGCCGGCCATACTTGTTGATCATGATAAAGAGGACGACCAAGAGGACACAAGCAAAAGCTGCCAACCCAACCGCTATGGAAACCTGAAAGGAAAAAACCTGAGTCAAGATGGAGAATTTTAGGAGTCTAGATTGGAAATGCAGCACCTTCTTGCCCGTTTAACCTTTCTGTAGGCTCATATGATCTGCTGAAGCCCTGGGGATATCAGCTGTGGAGGTTTTAAAAACACAAGCTAAAGCAAAGGGATCTGACACAGCTTGGAAGCATCAAAGGCTGTTTGCAGGACTGGGAAGTCTGGGATCTCCCTTGTCAGCAATGCTGTTCTGGCACCAGTTCTCCCCATCCTCTCACTCCATACCTCTGCACGGAAGGAGGACCTCTGGTCCAATGTCTGGGGTCTGCCTTCACTGCAGCATATCATGAGCTTCCATTTGTGACACCACCACTGTGCCACGACGTCACAATACTGGCTATGCTAACCTCAGCTGGAAACACACAGGAGCAGCACAAAATTCCTTAGGAAGAGCAACTGTCTCCATCCAAACATCCCTCATGAAAAAGAATGAGGGAAAATAACACACCACAGGAAAAAAAAAAACACCACAAAACAAAAAAACAACCCCCAGAAGAAATTAAGTAGAACTGGTGGGGTTTTTTCCCAAATAACATCTGGTTTTCCTAAAGCCTCTAATGGTTCCCTATTTATTGTAATTTTTAGTAGTAAACATTTATACTACAGCAATGTCCAAAGTCCTTCATTGGAACTGTACTTCCACTGTGTCAGTATACAAGGAAAGAAAACCTCCTTGCCCTAAAGGCTTTACAATCCCAAGCTTATTTTAGTATTTATGAATATTTATTCCTTCAAGCCTTTGCTCAAGATACTTTTATTGCATTGATGTAAACAACAATTTCTTTGGCATTTGTCCAATTGTTCTCCTGTACTGGGTCTTGTGATGCATTTAGTCTTCACTTCCTTTTACAAAACTCTATTCTGCTACAATAGAATATACATCATTTAGCCAAGAAAAAGTAATTTCATTTTGCAACCCTTTTCCCTGACCTTGATACATTAGCTACGATATTTTTAAATTTTTATTTTACCATGTTTTATTTTCATCCCCCAGTTTGTTTTCTGTGCTTTATATTTAATAATCAGTGCACATTATTACTCCTATCTCACTGTTCAAAGCTTTCACTTCAGTTACAGGAGATTTTCAGCTGGGTGAGAACTGAAACCAAGGTGGACTGAGTTTTGCTCATTCTGTTAACAGCTGGTGTGTTTCAAGCTCTTAAAAAACTGTCACAGAATTAGAGCAATTGTGTAACATGTTAATTTTTTCCCCCAGTACTTATAGGCACTTTTTTTCCTTTTTCTACCTGGATTCTGCAGAAGAAAGACAATGTTGAGATCTGATAAGCCATAGGATTTCTTTCTTTTTTCATTTTTGGCATGCCCTGAAGGGCAGGAGAGAGGGCAAACTGGCATTGACAGAATTGAACCAAGCTAAATCTGAGTCCCTCACAGGGCTAAATTTAACAGCTCAATAATAGTCTGAAACACACAATTGCCTGATTGTTTGTTCTCTGGGTGCTACTTTTTTAGATTGAGAATTTCTGACCCTGCCAGCAGCGACTTCACAGGATGCCTTATTTTCAAAGGGCTCCCTAGTTCCACACTGCAGACCCAAGAGGATCAGATAGTTTGTGTCAGTATTTTACTTGCCTGACACAAGCCACAAAATCCTCCTGATTGTTGTCTTGAGTCATAAAGGAAGAGATTTTCCTTGCAAACATCTCAAAACAGCACAGGAATGTAAATGCCAAGTCTTCAATAACAAGAAACGCATGCAAAATGGTTTTGTAGAGAAGAGACCAGGACTCACCCCAAAAGTGTCCTCCTCCGGTTTGTGGGTCACAGTGATTGGTGGGGTGGGACTCACTTCATAATCACCGACTGAAACCAAAACACCAAAGACAGAAGATTGATCGTGGCTCTGGCTCCCATGGGACTCCTAAGGCACCAGCACATCCCAAAGGCAGTGCCTGACCTAACGAGATCCAGTTTACCCCTAACAGAGGCTGCAGCTTTCTATCAAATAGCACCCTAATCAACAATTACAGAGTTCCCTATGCATATCAGCAGAGAAAACACAGACCAGGACCCCACTGATGCAACTCCAACCTTACAGATGAGAAACATTTGGGCGCCTGGTGTCATAGTGTGGGTGGCCTCCATCCCTGAGCCATCTCCTAGAGTTTTCAGAAATCTATTGGGCTAAGTAGGGTTAAAACACAAGACTGACTCCAGCAGAATTTGATCCAAAGAACCACTGACTTGATTTTTTTTTTTCTTTGGAGGGGTGAGGCAGAAAGTATCTGTTGAGGAAACACTACAGTAGTCAAGTCCTGTGTCTCATCCCAGTCCACACTAGACTGCATGATAGAAATGGGCCATGACACACAAATGCTTGGGGATTGGCCAGCCTGCACATAGTTAAGACTCCTTCTTCTACACTACAACTAACCAGTTACACTTTCAGTGATATTTATCTCCAGTTCTGCCATTCAAGACCTCAAGAACTAAAATTTCCACTATAGAATCTTCTTTGGGATGTCACTAAAGGGAAATGAGCAGCTCCTGGGATCTAGAGATTGCCCAGCTGATCAAGAGCTCCTCAACCATCTTGCTTATGCGTGGGGACACAAGGGTTTTGTGCAGCCTCTGCCAGCTTGCTTCCTGATTTTTCCTCCAGGAGCACATTGGTCACAGAGGGGCAGAGAGAAGCACAAAAATGAAACACCCGCAGTATGCAAAGGGAAAGGAGACACTTACTTGAGACAAAGTTATCCGTACTCTCTGTGGAAAGGACAAAGAGAGAAGCAACACAGTTAGCAGCATAGCAAAAGGAGAATGGTTTCATTCCCAACCCGTCTCAGACATACTCCACCACCCCGAAGAGCCCAGAAAATCAAAATGTTTCATGTTTTATCCTGTGTGGGAAGTGTCACTGGGAATTGCTGCACATGTGCCAGCAGGACATGCCGGAGGTGTGAAGAGCATGAAGAGCACAGGGCTGAAACAGGAGGGAAGGGATGCTACTGCCAATCCAGAGAACAATTATCAGCACCCTGTACCGAGGCTTTTCAATGGTCATTAAATGTCCCTGCTTTCAGCAGGCAAGCAAAGTTCAACAGACACACGGGCTCAGCAGGATGGAGTTGGAGCGGAGAGAAGATGATTTTGCCCAGGGAGAAAGTCCTACAGTGATAAGGACCATCTCCCAGAAAGGACAGTCCACCTTGGGGCAGAGGGTTAGAGACCTCTTCTGGGCTCTCTCAATAGCTTACTGAGCCACTCATAAGAAGCTAACAGCACCTCAACTGGACGTGGAGGCTGTAGCTGTCCTAGAGCTGCCTCTTGCCCAAGAGATAGCTGCACCAGTCCCTGCTGTCAGCCACTTGACTGCTCCACTCTATTCAGTAAAGCTCCTTCAGCTCCGAAGGCGCCGAGGCCCCAGACAATGAGGTCTAAAGCTCTCGGTGACACTCAGTTTACATAGCATGAGAACAGCGTCAGCTTTCTATTCACTCGCCCATGTAAGAAACTGAGCCCGATATTAACTGGAGTTTACACAGCTTTGCTGGCAGAGGGCTCCTGGAAGGACACTGAAATGTTCGTGCCGAAGTACGGGTGAGGTTTGAAAGGGAAGCGTGAAACAACCCCCAGGTGACAAACACGGCTTTCCAAACCAGGGGAAAAAACCTGAAAAAATATTTTTGTTTCAAGTCAAGCAGAAGAGTAACTTTCCTTGGCTTTTTCTAGCAAGAGGGAAAAAAAACCCACCCAAAAACAGAGGAAGAAATATTTCATTTGGAAACTTTTTTTTCCCCCTATTAAAGCAGGCAGAGTCTAGTCGTAAAACTCTTGCTGCTTCTACATTTTCCTCTTTCTGTTTTTCTCTGCTGGACTAAGCAAATTCAACAGAAACCCACAAAAACTTTTTCCCGCTAAATCTTATTTTTCAAAGCATAAAACATAGCCAAGAAATTTCAGCCAGCTTGAGTTCTATGAGAAGTTTCCAAAGAACTGAACACTCATGGAGAGGGGATGCAGGTAAATTAACCTTTGAGGGTCAAATAAGGAGATGGTAGCCTATGGTAGAGATGCCAGTGACAACATGCAATGAAATTTTTATCAGGAGATGACACAAATCTTTCATGGGAGCCACTGCTCTGGCTTCTAGAACCACATCATCACAGAGAAGCAGGACATGGCGTGGGGCGTATCTCCCAGCTCCCATCCAGCTTCTAACAGCAACTTTTTCCTTTCAACCTGGGAAACACAATCTGGCACAGATCTAACAAGAGATTTCAGACCAGGGGTTTCTAAAAAAAACACGGTCACGGGTCCTTTTCTATGCTGCCAGGAAGTTTTCCAGGTACTACACTTTCATTAATTACTTAAGACTAATAACCGTATCCTGGGTAGTGACAGCCAAACCCTTGCACATGCAAATAGCTATAGGCAATAAGTTTCTTGAATGAACCACACTTGGGAACCTTCAATTTGTAGCATTTTTTGGAGGAATCTACCTTCAAATGGAAAATTATAAATGTCAGCTGCATTGAGCGTTAACGTCAGCTGTGGCAGCAGACAGAGCAACAAACTTCAAGGAAAGTAAATTACATCCTGCATTGGGCTGACAGGGTCTGCTAGGGTGAAGAACGGCTTGGGATTTCGGATCAGAAGAAATAAAAGAAACGGGTCAGTTCCTGTTGAGAGGTGGTTCAGGGTCTGTAAGTACTCTAGATCAACAACACCTACAAGGCATGGGTGAAGATGCACCCACAGGGGTAATATTTTACATATATTTTGCACAAACAGATTCTCCAAGAGTCTTTGACACAAGAAGCTCAGCAAACACCAATGTGCCTTCCCACAGCACAGCTCAGACCCATTTCCAAAATCAGCTCTCCAGAGCACCAGATCTGCCCCCTTTTCTGGAGCTGTCCCCATTTCACAGATGGGGAAATTGAGTCACGAAGGTGAGACCTGACAGAGCTGAGACTGCAAACCTGTGCCTCTCTGCACCCACCTACATTTGATAAGCTGCTTTTCTGCCCAGACAGCAGGAAATGTAAATAGGTCAGATAGCCAAACGGGACATCATCCTTGAAGCCTGAATATGAATTTTCCACTCCCATCCATATCAGATCATTTGTTCAATTGTCAGATCTTCAAGGCAGAGATCTGGGGTTGCATTTACGATATTTGACCTGCAGGAAAACTCTGTGTACATATATGGTGTGATATAAATAATAAATGAGAGTACCATGGTATTTTTCTATATTTAGCAAACACCCTATTTTGCTGGATTTTCTTGGGCTGCAGGGGCCAATTTAGAGCTGACACTTTCTCATGGCATCATTCCTGAAGGCAGCTGTATGCACAGATCTTAACTCTGTGATGGCCAGTGTGGTATCACAACGGCACAGAGCAGACCAAGACCCTCCATGCTCCTACCGAGCAGACAAGACGCCACAAAAGTCTCTACTGCACCCCCCAGAGCTGGATCTTCATGTCCTCAAATGCTTTGTGTTTTTGCAGTTAAGCCCTGAATTACTCAGGAGTACAACGGGGGATTCCAAACAATCAGTCAAGAAATCCCAGCAAAGTGATGCAAAGCGACTAATTGAGCCATCGCATCTTTTGTAGACCTGTCATCCTGGAATTGCACATGTCATATTTAGGAAGAAAACAATCCTGACACTGTTGCATCCAGCTATAATCATTTCACAAATGCAAGCTAGAAGGAAAACAAAAATAAAAAGGAAGAGCTGCATCATTCTAAAGGGCTTTCCTTTCTTTAGTTTATATCTAGCAAACCCATCGAAGAATACTTTCGAAAAATAGGGCTCTTTGGGGCACCCCAGAGGAGATCCAAAATAATTGACCAAACTTACATCCTCTTCCCACTGAAATCCCTAAAGATCTTAAAATATGAAACAAAACAAAACAACAAATAACACTGCAGAATATATTACACAACAAAAATATCTAAACCAATTAGTCTCTCTCTGCATTAAAGAGTTGTTATGACACCAAAGCACACTTGAGTTGGAGAATCACACTGGTTAGAAGAGGCTTCTAGAGGTCTCCTCTTCCAACCCACTCTTCAGATAAAATCCAGCTTGGGTTGTCAATGCCTTGTCTAGGTGCAAGGATTACCTGTAGGACCATAGTAAGACCTTTGGATTGCAAGCAACCCTAAGAAGATAAACTGAACATCCTACCTGGAAAGGGCTTTTCAAGGAAGTGTCCTTTGATGGTTTGGTTGGCTGAGCCCAGCTGGTTGGTAGCCACAATTGTGTAGTTGCCATTGTTGTAGTGGGTGGGTTTGTTGAAGAGCAAGCAACCCTCAGACACTTCCCCTTGTTGGTAAAACTCCATGTGGATGATCTCTGTCTCCCGGAGAACCTGGCCGTTGTGAAGCCAGTGAAGGGTGGGAGCTGGGTTGCCGTGCACTGCAAATGCAATGCAGTGCTCCAGGTGTAGCACTGGCTCCTCCAGGGTTAGGATGCGAGGGGGATCTAGCAGAGAGAAACATGGCAGGCTCACAGCACACCTCCACCCACATCACGTCTTCGTGCACCATGGAAATTAGGATTATTGAGAACACAACCTCCAAAATCCCTTGGTCCTTCTACTCTTACCATGGATGTCTGCAAAGAAGCAGTGCTAAGTCACAGGAACCATTCCATGCTCCCCAGAAGGTGGATGTGAACCACAGGCAGTTCTCTTGGGCTTGTGAACAAGGGGTATAAATTAACAACAGGGATGGTCCTTTCACCAGCCCGGAAACGATTAAGCTTGAAGTTGCCCATTTGAACACTTACTGCTGCTCTCCTTCCCTCAAGGGATCACAGGGAGGCTGCTTGTCCCTGCTAAGGAGGACACTGCGACGTAGCACTGTTACATCACACGTGTGCAAGGTGTCCCTTGGGGGCTCTCCAGTCGCACTGAGCAATTTTGGGTTGCATAGCTGTGGAAGCAAACATCCCTCAGCGACTGCCTGTCCTTGGGGGTTTTGACTGCCTGAATATCCCAAAGGAGTTCTCACCCGCCGAACACCCTCCAGGGGTGTTTTAATTAAAGGGAGTAGAGTGGGAGAGGAAAAAAGAAAAGCCGAGACTCCACCTGCAATTTGTTGCATATGCATTGCCTTCCCCCTCGGGACACCCCAAGAATTCAAATGTTGCTCTGCCATCGCTTCTGAAACCCCATTTACAACGCCTACATGTTAAGGTCCCAAACCCCAAGGCTGGCAAGGTCTGAACTAGAAGAACAAAGTTTTGCGCAAAAACAAAGGACACAAAAAGATGTAGGTCTTCCCTAAAACTCCATTTCCTGGTACCATCTAACTGCAAAAACAATCCACAGGGCATCCAGAAGGAACAAATACAATGCATCAATTTCAACCAATCTTTTGAAAAAAAGACAACGAATTTTTCAGCCAGTGAAGGTGGTAGAAGAGAAGAAGGTGCAAGGCTTGTCAGAGCGGAGCAAAATTCTCCCACCAGGACCCATCTACCCTGAACCACACAGCCATGCCCCAGCCACCTCGTTTCACTTGCAAGCCTAGATCTGCATGTGGTTTGTTCACATCTTCCTGGCAAGGAGGATTCAAAAGAGGCAGCCACCTACACGCACAAACCCAGATCTTTTCGGCGTGAAATTACAGCCTGAGTGATGGGCCTGGGCAACAAGAGCAGGGGTAGCAGAAACTGTCAGCAGCTTAGAGGACTACACAGGTGAAAATAGGCATTGGCATGGTGCTGTTTAAGGTGTGGAGGAAAAGATGCTAAAAACACAGCGCAAAACACAGCCACCCGCTGACCAATCATCTCTGAGCTGATCTGAACTTTAATTACCTCCACTCTTCAATCCATCAATAGTACTTATTGAGAGGAAGATGAAAGTAGTAAAGCAACTGCTCTCCTCTTTCCAGTTCCCTGTGATCCCTTGTCATTACAGTGGTCACTGCACTGAACACACAACACGTGTGGGTTCACCAAGACTAGACAGAATCCTGCATGAGTCTGTCCTCTGCCTGGCAGGGTTGGGGGGCAGGGGATGGATTTTCAAACTACAGAGTAAGGGCAAATATTGAAGACACAGCAACATATAGTAAATCTCAGCTGCTTGAGAGCACAAAGCTGTGTAAACTTCCTCTTAAGGTCAGGTTTGTGTTAAATTATATTAGAAAGCACAAAGAAAGTTTAGCTACTTGCGGCTAAAAGTGAACAGTTGAAATTTGACATGTGCGTGTTTACACGGCATTTGCAGTTTAACTTTGTAGGAACAGATCTGGGAGAAAGCACCAGCGTCCCTGGATTCAGAGCCAAGATTTACACTGGCTTTAGCAAGCATGACATTTAACCTCTCACACAGCATCAGAGCAAGAAACTCTGTGTTAGTAAACAGAGTTTTAGCCCTCCTATGGGAGCTTTTCTCTGCTAGACCTTTCAGGAGATGGGTGGAGAGATGTCCACCACCAGTGTGGCACTGCTGCTCCTCCCCTGCTCTAGTGCTCATTTCTGCATTAATGGAAGCATCAGGAAAGTGAAAACACTGACACTTAAGAGAGAGCTATGTGAGCATCCACCTCCTCCTCATTGTGCTCAGCTCCTAACCCTCATCCACAAAACCAGTATGTCACAGGTAGTAAGTGGCCATGCATTCACATGGTCCCAGGGCAGCCCTCCAGCCTCCATAATGGTCAAGGTCACTTCGGTGTTACTTACAGTAGACGGTGAGCAGCACACTGGCATTGCTCATCCCCACCACGTTCTCGGCAATGCAGGTAAGCAGGAACCCATTGTCCTCACTGGTGACATTCACCAAGGTCAAATTGATGGCGTGAACATTGGTCCAATTGAGGTTGGTCTAAAAATCGCAGATAAAAAGACAGAAATCAGCATCTGTTGGCTTCTCTCCTCCTCACCCCTGCACCCAGACGATTAGGATCCCAGTTTCCTTATAAGATGCAAGGAGGTCTCCAAAATCCTGGAACAAGTAGAATCTGGGTGAGGGGAAGTGTTTCCTCATCTGCTTTAGCACACCATATCCTATAAGAGAAACTACTGGGAGGGGGAGAGCCACAGCACTGCAGCACTGATAAACACGGCTTGCCTCTAGGAAAACTTGCTTAGCTGCCTGTTTCAGCTACAGCTTTTGCAGACACCTCTGTAAACAGGTAGTTTCATTCAAAGAGACATGAGTTAATTCAATTAGGGAGCAGTGAGATATGAAGCTATCTCATCTTGACTTTCCAGCCGTACAGAGTGAAGGTTTTGCTGCTTTCAAGTAGTTCCCAGGTTCTCGTGTGGATACTGCATGATATCCTTTTTCCCTTTGGATACAGCCCTTTCCCATTTCTCATAGCAGTCTCCACCGTCTACCCTCTGCCCTATCATGCACAGGCCAGGGGAACCCATCACAGCTGTCTTGCGTGGGCCACTTTGGGCACAGCCGGCACTGAGGTCCCACAGCTCCTACCTGGTGTGTGTTGATGGAGTGGAGATCGGCCACTGTCCAGTCGACATCGGGCAGTGGTGACCCTGAGCCGTTGCAGGTGATGACAGCGTTCTCTCCTTCCCTCACCGTCAGGTTCACGTGGCTCACGCTGATCTCGGGGAGGTCTAGGAGAGCCAGACACCAAGGAGCTCAGGTACAGAGCAGCGTTTGCTACAGCCAGCCACAGGGTCCACACATGTGGACCCAGACTTTGACAAGCTGTTCCCCAAAACCAACCTCCAGCACGCTGGAATAAGTAACAAGAGACAACAGCACAGCCTTGCCCCACCAAGGGAAGGATGAGGCACAGAGACAAGGGAAAGTATGGACACTGGAGATGTGCCAGCTGAACAGAACCTCCCATCACACTCTAATCCCAAAGTTGGTGTCCAGTTCTGACTGCCCTTCCCTTCAAAAAAAAAACAAAACAAAACAAAACCTTTCCTCATCTTTTCTCCTCCCTTAGGAGCTGCTCTTGAGGGAAATCACCTAGGATGGGAAGGCTGCATGTGCTGGGAGAGGATCCAAAGCATTCCTACATTCAGGGACAAGGCACGGAGTGCCCAGCATTCCTGGCAATAAGAGTGCCCCTCTAATTTATAACAATCAAGAGAGGATGACCAAGGATATGTTCTCATATTAACTGCAGCTCACCTAATAAAATGTGCCCTTGTTCTTCCTCAAAGGTGGCAGAAAGATTCACTGATTTATGGTGGCCCTGATTTACACCACTTCCTTACTTGCTGCCACAGGAATCAAATATCCTTGCAACATGAAAGAAGATAGTGCTGGTTGCAAGAAGGGCAAACAGCCTTCTTGTAAGAGGAAGGCTTTCTGAGCTCATTGTAGAGGCAAATTGGGTAGGCAGGGTAGGGAGGATCTGACCCGTGGTCACCTCCTGTTGTAGGGCAGAAGCATCCATCACACTGACCCAAAGTCCCGGATGGTGATGCACATCCTTTTGTTGCTATCAGGGAGTGACATCAGGAGGAAAGCAACCTTGCACTGATTTGGAGGGGTGCCAGAAGAAAAGAAGCAGCAGTTAACACAGGTGGCCCCTCTGGGGCATCAGGAATCAGCAGAGAGGGAGATGGGAGGGACACGTACCGTCTCACCAGGTTGAACTGGTATCAAATGTGGCCACACAGAGCCACACCAACCCTTTAGCACCAAAGGACAAAGACAAATGGGGTGTTGTTACAAGATCCCTTGAGTAGTCTTAATGCTTGAGCAGACTGACTCTCCTCTGGAGGAAAGCAGATCAGTGTGGCAGATCCTTTCCCTTCCAGGTCAGAGGAGGTGCTCACCCTGCACGCCAGCACATTTGTGTTCCCAAATCAGCACCCTGCTGTCCCATCAAGTCTAATACCACCACTGACGGAGTCAACTTCTCCTCCCCTCCCTGATCACAAAGGATTTTTTTTTTTGTCTTCTAATCCTTGCAGATTATTCTTCCAATTGGGAGAGGAAATTACAGAGGTCTCTCAAATCTTTTTAGTTCATCCACATGCAGGCACACTTTGGCCTATTTCCAGAGCTTAATAAAGGGACATCATGAACTTGAAAAAAATAAATAAAAATAATGCAAATCCAAATGTGCATGCTCTTTGTATACTACCACTGCAAGAAACAAACCTAAATTCCTAGAACAGAGGATGATCACCAGAAAAAGGAAAAACCTCTGTGTTTCCTCCTTTTTTCAACCTGTGAGTTTGGCAGCTGCTTGTGTATAGGCAGCTTAATTGTTCTGGTGAAGTTACACCTACTTCCTTTTGCTCTGCAAGAGATGCTTTCCAGTAATGGCAACAGCAGAGCAAAAACTGACACCAAACAGGCAGCTGACGTGTGAACAAGGTGAAGGAACAAGAGATAACTATTGAACATGCCTCATGTTGCTCCTGGGGCCACTGGACTCTTTTAAACATCAGCAGGAAACAGAAAGAGATATAGAGTCATTCCTGACTCTTCCCTACAGATACAGACTTTCAAATGAAAAATTGAAACAAAAGAAAATGAATAGAGACATGCATTTCCTAAGAGTAATTACCAAAGACATGGTGGCAGTGACTTTTAACAATATGCTATTTCTAGGATTTGTTAGACAGAGGAAGAGCAACATGAAACATGTCCCTTTTCAAGACATCACATAGACTCATCACAGACACTTTGTCAAGCAACAGCATCACAGTGAAGGAAATGCTCCAAATCACCCTATACCTTCACACATACAGAAACAACAGCCCCACATTTACCCAGATACTCTATTTTTAATCCACAAACTACCCCCAGTCAGCTTCAATTGTCTTGTTCTTGATCACGGGACAGGATTCTGCAGCACCAGGTTCCCCAAGCAGATGGTTGAACCAAAGGTGCTGGATAGGGCAAGGCTCCCTCCCCGTTTCCCTCATCCCTGACCCTGGGAGTCCTTACCGCACTGGGTGATGTTCATCTCCTGCAAAGGGATGATGGCTGCGTCCATGTTCATGCAGTAGAGCTCTTGGTACTGCAGGTTTGCCTCACCCTTCTCCTGCCAGAGCTGGATCCAGCGGATGTCGCAGCTGCAGTTAAAAAGATTCCTCTCTAGTCTCCTGCGGGCAGAGAGAGCGTGAGAAAGGACGGTGGGGTGGAGAAGGACAAACAAGGACACTGCCCAGCTCTGGGCTGTCTGAGAACAGTCACCATGTGTGTGCAAGCAGCCTTTTAGAGTTAAGGGAGAATCTCCTCTGTGTTATTTGGCTGGGGTCTTCTGGCACATGTTGTTCCTGTGTCTCTTCCACCTCCAGAGAGACCAAGGTTACACATCCACATGTTCACAAAGTCTCCTTCATGCACTCACACAAGGTTTTACATCTCCCAGGGCAGCACATGGATACACATCTTTCACCACAAGATCTGCACATCTGCAGTGTGGTCCCACAGCCAGTCAGGCACTCAAAACACCCATTCCTCAGCAAAGGGAGCAGGCACATCCCCACTGCTGTGAAGCATTGATTCATGTCTTCAATTCCCATTTCAGTGGAGGTTCAAGTCCCTGCTGGGCAAAGCACATCTCCAGCCCCCGCAAGTGCTCAATGAAGCTGGCAGCTCTTCTCCCAAGTACCTTGTATGAACACAGCCTCCTGGTGACCCAGGACATGAGCTAATGTGCAGGGTATCATGCATTTTAATCAAATCAAATAGCACTGCACTGAGACCCTGCTGACCTAGCCAGGAGAAATGGAAAAAAGCACTGCCTTTAATGTACTTCATTTAAAACATACTTACACATAGTTTATATAACAGGAATGTTTATTATAATTGATTTTCCAACCTATTAACCATTTCATTTACATTTTTAAAGGCCTGCAGGTCTCTGTAGAGATGTGAGGAGGGCAGGTCCCAGCAGGGAGGAGAGCCCAGTGCTCAGCCAGGACAGACTGTGTTACCAACATGGGTTGCAGTGATAACTTGCCCAAACCAGGAGACACTTCCTGAACAAACAAAATATCTCCCCACATAACTGTGAAGTAAAAGAAATAAGGGAGCAGAGGAGACAGCACTGCAAAAGGTAAGCTCAAGTCACCCCAAAGGAGAAGGGCAACTCCAAAGGTCAAAATGTTGCTTCACACGACATCTAGATTCCCCCTGTCATACAGGGGGAAGCTGTTTTTCTGGTCTGTTCCACGTGTTACTGCAAAATTCATGCTTGCTTTTTCAAAATTAATTCCACCAGCTAACAGGATTTGGAAACAAACTTCCAAAAATGTGCAGCTGCTGTTTTGTCAATACAATATTGGATAAGGAGGAGGAGGAGGAGAAAGGATCTTCTGGTAGTACTCAGGGGTGTTAAACCTGAACCCTAATGATGCCACTTTGAATCTTCTCATAGAAGAAGATGCCATCTGACCTTTTCTTGGAACAAGCACCGAGTTAAATTTCACTCTGTGGCTTTTCATTAGTTCTTTCCTTTCCCATCACAAACACCTAAACCTTTGCAAGACAAGTACAAAGCTCAGACAAGTGACTCAAAGGCCAAAGCACTAAATACAACAGATCCAAGCAGATTAGTGCTGTGATTTGGTGGGATTCGAGTGATGAGGCGTTCCCTGCATGCTCCGACAGGTACAGCCAGTGCCTCGCACAGGCTTTACATCCTGTTCAGCACGGCCACAAATCCACCTTCTCCTTGGGATTCCCCCAAAGTCACTGCTACCAGCAGGACATGGGATGGCATGAGGGTAAGAGCCATGGGCTTGGCTAAAGGTAGATCAGGTAACTGAGTTGTACCCTGGGACCTACCAGGGAGCTGCAGAAGCTCTGGGGAAATGGGGAAGAAATTCTGCTCCCTTACAAATATCCTCACAAAATGAGGCTGTGGGGATTGCTGCTGCCCTAGCACTTAAGGGCAGCTCTGTAAGTAACAGACAGCAGCCTTCCCGGCCCATTGCTAATTCATGAAGGCCCATGAATAAAACAGGAGCAGCGGGCTTCAGGGCAGAACTTACCCACGACCTGCCCCAACATCAGTGAGGTAACTCGCTCTAATCGAGACCCCCACAGGGGCTTTTGCACAAATTAACTCCCATCACCATCTGGATTTGCCGAGTGCCACGGGCAGCTGGCATGACACTGCAGGTAGAAGGGGCACGGATGTGTGCACCCGTTCTCCAGAACACACGCTGCAAAAGCCCTCTTGACACTTGGGAGATGCCCTCCCTCCTTGCATGGTGCCTGTCCTGCCATGCCATGCCAGCTCACCAGAGAACTACAGAGATTCCCATGCTCACACTGTCCTGCACCTCCCCAAAAACCTCAGACCTCATCATTGCTCCAGCCTCATGGCTTGCAGGGATCATTAGGAGCTGCAGCTCCTTCCAACCCTTCCTTCCGTGACTTCTGTAATGTGTCCCCACTATCTACTACCCTCTGCGTCCCTTTTCTTCAAGGAGGAGAAGCATCTTGGGGACTACAAAGTGCCCTTTGGCCAAAATTTACTGTCATGCCAGAAGGCATCACCATGTGCTGTGGAGACACCTCCCATCACAGCGGGAAGGACAGATGCTGAAAGGCACAATGGGGCAGCCAAGAGGTCTTCATTGGTGTCATGTGTTTAATGGGTGAAACCACAGTGAAAATTAAGGCAAGAGGCTCCTCCACTTAAGACATATGCAGCCCTGCTTACTCCCAGAGAGGACAAATAGTCCCAAAGGGCATTTTTTGCATGAAGCTTTAGCCTGGAAATGTTGCCAAAGCATCACTTGGTTACACGTGCTCAGGAGCTGTGCCCACTCCCACACCTTCTGAAGGCCTCGTTAAAACTGAAAACGCCTGTGAGAAATAGCAAGTATCACAGCCACAAGCAAGCTGGCCTCTCTCTACAGAGCCTCACTGCTCTTTGCACTGAGGAGTTGGCCTGAAAAGGGACCAAACCTGCACATGATCCAGAGTCATCCTCCAGCCCCCAGGCAAAGCACAGGCTTTCAGCAGGGCATGCTCTGGGCACAGCCTCTCACACAGTGGGCACTTGTGTTTGGAACAGAGGAAAACTGGGGCAACCATGCCCTGCACCCTCATTCGAGGGGACGATGAGAGAGCTGAAACCCCAGAGCCATCTGGGCACCAAGTTAACTCTCTAGATACAATGCTGCAAATGCTTGGCTGAGCCCAACTTTGCTCCTCACAGAAAGCCGTACCCATCACCTCCCAAAACTGCCTGGACAGCCTACACAAGGGCAGACCAGGGCAGGAGAGGGATGCCATCAGCATCACAGGATGTACTGGACAGTCAGGTCTTCACATATACAGAGAGCAGGTTTTTTTTTCAGGCTATACAGTGAGATGAGCCATACGTCCTGTCCTATGCCTCCCCACTCATCAGCTAAAACAAATCTGCAGCTAAAGCCTCTCAGAGGGCAGTGGAGATCCTTGCCTCACTTCTCCTGTCTGCTTTGATTCACATAAAACTGCTGCCGAGGCTTCATACACTTGCAATTAAAGCCCTCTCCTACCTCGGGACTCAGACCTAAGCCTGAGAACCAAAGAGCGCCCAGCAGAGACAGAACGAAACCTATTTTTGTTTTTCATTTCTATTTATTTCCCAGAAGCAGGGCTTCTCTTGGCGGTCCAGCCAAAACTGTAATTTCCAAACCCCTGCCAGAAAAGGATGGGATGGAAAGGGAAGAACTCAGACAGGGAACAACGTGTGGCGTCTGATGGCTGGATTAGCTAATGCAGAGAGCAGGCAAGTACCCACTGTCTAGCTACAACTCTATTAGTGTGACTGTTGGCGGCAATAAGTTTTCAAGCTAGAGCCACAGATGATGTTAAGTTGGACTCATAACATTATCGGAGATGCTGCTGTGCCCCATCCCCACCAAAGCCTCTTGCTGTAGCATTGCAGAAATCTACTGCAGGGTAAGCTGGCAGGGACTGCTGGTATTAGAAATGCTGATGGGCCAGGCAGAGCGGCAAAATGTTCAGGACTACAAGGTTTTATACAACCAAAGAAGTAATTGGATCCAGAGTCTTAGGTCTTTCCGGGAAGGAATTTCTTGAAATGTCAGCCCTAAGCTCTCTGAGGACATGACAAAGGAAGCCAAGGACATGACAGAGGAAACCAGCTGTGACTTCTGGATAAGAAAGGCTCTAAGTCCAATGTTTATGAGCTGTTGCATGTGTCAGATGATTCCCTGTGCGCACTCAGCTTCAGACTTAGGAGAGCTGTGCACACATTAGCTTGAGCCCTGCTGGTCAAGGTCAGCCTGTGCTCTGGGAATTAGGGCTGGAGTTACTGGAAACCATTCCAAGCCTTGCTTCTGGCCAGGAGGAGAAAGAGATAATATTCTTTGGAAGTGTGCCTCCTTTTTGCCATCCTTTCTTCTGTGAGTCAGCAGAGGAAAAGCTCAACTCTGTTTGACAAGAAACTCTGCTTTAAAGCCATACCACCTTCCCGAGCTTGAGACACCTTGAATGCAGTCAGGCAGCTGTTTCAAGCCCCAGGTTCCCATCCACCTGCCTGCTTTCATAGCGTGGCATGATCTTCACATTAGTCTTCTGCTCTTTCCTCCTCCATGTTCACTATGAGTGGCTTTGTCAGGTTTCATGTTCCCTGGCAATCTCCATGTCACATCAGTTGTAGTTCCTCTACTCCCAACACTCTCTCAGAAACGATCTTCTCATCACTTCCCTTCCCACGTGTTCTGCTGCTCTGAGCTGCCTCGCTGCACGTCACAGTTTTGCCTTCAGCGATTATCCTCCCTCAAGATCCAGGATTGCCTGCTAGCACTGGGACTCAGTGAACCACTGCAGACCTGCACCCACTTGTCCCACCAACCCTCCCCGTAGACCTCTCTCTCTCAAGAAGAGCAGGCTCCTGCCAGCATCTGTATGCCCCTCGGATCTTCTGGCCTCTCCACAGCTGTGCACAAGTGCTGCTGCTCAGTCTGCCTTCCTCAGGCTTGCTGCCTCTGCATCAGTCTCTGCTGCTCACTGCCTTCTTCCTCTCCAGAGAGTTTTGGCTCAACTTCAAGTCCTTGGCTGATGTCAGTCTGCAACTCCCTTTCTAGCTTTCACCAGTGCTTCACACTCACTTTATGTGGGCCATGTATTCTGTCTCCCTCCCAGATTCTGGAAGCCTCCTTGGAGCTCAGTGTGCCAAAAAACTGTCTTCTACGCACCCATCCTCTGCATTTCTAAAAAAAATACAATATTTCCCACTTTTGCACATCCATTACTAATTTCTCCCTGTCTTGAGATTTACTTTTCCTCATCAACAGGTCCCATCCTTCTAGCGCTCGGAACCATGACATAGCATATGTCTTTACCTTAATTCCAAGCATCTTTGTAGGAATGATTTATTCAGAGCCCATATCTCAGGCTACACTTCCACACTGTCTTCTCTCAAACAAATCCAAAGCTCAGCAGGACAATTTCATGGCCCCAGGAGGATACTGTAGGCTCATCTCCGTGCCCCATTAACACCAACATTCCAGTGGGTATCAGATAAAATATCCCTCTTCTTTCACGGTTTGGGGAACATCATCATCATGTTATCCTGGTACTGACCATCCTACCTGTGCTTACATGGATGGAGGATCCTTAGTGATAAGGGAAAATTTGTCAGGAAGCATCAGTGACAAAGCAATTCCTCAGAAAAAAATTAATTTGACCAGGTTCTTACTCCAGCCCAGCAAACCAGACCCTGTGGGCACACACACTTGTGGGTCTAAACTGATCACTGGAGCTGATTCGCCAAGACTCCTTTCAGAGTGCAGTGATAGGAGTAGTTGTCTAAGATTCCAGCCCCACGTGGTGCCAAGCCTCCCCACAGGACACCATGGACACCACACATCACATCAGTGCTGCATTCCCACCCCATCACCTCTTCCCACCAACCCGCCCCACAAACTCCCACATTTCTATCTGCATTACTTTTTTCATCAATCAGGGCTTGCTGTCTTGTAGAAAACCACTCTCAGCACAGCTCCAACTGGAGCCAAGTAATTCTAATCATTCCCGTTTGCCAGGCTGCAGAGCACTGACCCCAAGTGACTCTGCTGACACCAACCAAACCCACGCCAAGCACACCAGCTTCCCTGTCAGGATCACAGTAGCAGAACAACACAGATGTATTCTTTATCAGGTGGGGATAAATACATTTTGCTGCCCAAACAGCCGCATCTCAATCCCCTTTGTGCCTGATATTGGTCTTTTGAGCCTGACTTGGGCTGGCAGACCTGGGACACACCCAAAGGACCAAAATATGACCAAATGAAACAAAACCACATAAAAACGAGCCGCATTGGAAATATCCCCATTAATCTGCAGGCTCACTGCTACACCAGGCCTTGCCAGTGCCTCTCGCTCAGGACTGCAGCCCCATTTGCTCCTCTACTCTTGGGTCTCTCCTGGGTAACAACCATCAATCTGAGTTTTGCCAGACGGTGCAATGACAATAAGTAAAGGTCTAAGAATACAAATGACTCATGCTATTAAACTTGAAACCTGAGCCAGGCTTGAAAAATATTTAGAGCTGTAATCAGTGAGGAGACAAATTCCAAATTCAGCATTTTAACTCTGCAAGCCAGATTCCCCATCAGAAGGGCGTTTCTCTATTTTCTAATATCACTATTAGTATTTTTCATTTAACAATTTGACAGAAATAAAATACACTGCAGTAACACCGGTGATAACACACTTACTCCCACTTAAAAGACTGTCTTTATTCTTTCATAAGTCACTTCAAGCTTACAGCTCTATTGATCATCAGTGAGGATGAATGGAGCTTCCCAGGATCCTCTGGGACAAATCCTACATATATATATTTTTTATACCCACCAAACAACTATTTCTAAAATTCAACAAAACAGGTCATCAGGGCAACGCTCCATTGATTTCGTGTCCACTTATTCTTCAAGCACAGTGCTGAATGCTCTATCAATAATTCAGCAGGCTGAAGGCCACCGGTGCCCCAGGAGAGACACTATCTCATCTCCCACATCGGAGCTGGGAGGTGCCTCGATTGCTGGAGAGCAATGGAGTCATTTGCCTAAAAAACAAATGTCTTATAAAGCTTGTCCATGAGCTAAAGAAAACAGGTAGCCCTACTCTGCAACAGATGAGGATCAAGCATTTGAGAAGATGCATTCAAAATCCAGCCTAGTAAGTATTTCTAATGTGTTCCCAGAGTTAGTCAACCATTTACTACCCCAAGCATGACTTGTTCATCATCCCGACATTAATTAGCCGGCTGCTGTGAAGTTAAAAGAGAGGCAGTTCTGCTCTGGTGCTCCTGTGCCCAGGAAACCCTCCCAAGGATGGTGCTGCCCACTGGAGTTTTAGGTAATTATTCACAGGCTTCAAAATAGCTCTATTTGGAAATCATTCCTCCACTGTGTCTCCCTTCTTCTCCCAGGAGACACCTCTAGGGTGGGACTTACAGTTCAAAGAGTCGCAGGGTCTGGAAGAGTTGCCATGACAGAGTGGTGAGCCGGTTCCCAGAGAGGTCTCTGAAAATTAACAAGAGAAAAAAAAGTAGTCACGGTAAATAATTCTTCCTGCACGTGGCCCTACCGCCTCCACAGAGCTCATCGTCCTCCTCTACGGGGAGGCTGTCAAGCAGTTTAGTACCCAAGTTTAGATTTTATAATGAGAGATTTTAATGAGGACAAACTCAATTGGAAGCTTCTCATTTTACTTATTTTTTCCAAGAGGGAAAAGGATTTATATCATGCTGCCATGTTAAGGAAAAAAACAAAGAGAGCAAGATGTGCCTGATTCTTGCCCATGAATCTGGAGCTTGACCAACCGTAAGCAGAGAGAACAAGTCTAATTTCACACTTTGAACAAAAAAAAAAAAAAGGTAGGTACAAACGACGTGTTAAAAATAGTAACAGCTATGTTTAAATGGCAGCATGATGATTACCCAAGGTGTTAGCATATGATCTGCAGTAGCTGCGTGCTCGAAGTGTCCCGGTATGGTTGTGTGTTGTTTGCACCCAGGGGTACCACTGTTACAGCAGCCAACAGCTCCTCGTCCCTCTCTCCATCTGCCCAAACTTGCACAAACATAAAATCTCATCTACCCGGGAGAGCTTTGCAACCCAGAAGACGTCACCTCTTCAGCTGAAAGCTAGACAGGATAAAAGAGTGTAAAAGCAACCTAAGCAGAATCATAGGATGGTTAGAATTGGAAGGAACTTTTTAAAAATCATTGAGTTCCAACCTCCCTGCCATGGGCAGGGACACCTTCCGCTAGACCGGGTTGCTCAAGACCGCATCCAACCTGGACTTGAAGTACTAAAAACAAAAGAAAAAAATGTGTTTGAGGCAGAGCAATCAGAAAGGAAGTCCTCAGTTTCTAACAACATGATAAGATGGTAACAAAATGCCTTCTGTAGTGGGCAGCCTTCCTGGGGTCATCCAGCCAGCCTGAAAGCCACCAACTGAGGGACGAGCCCATGGGGTAAGCAAAGAGATGGGTGGTCACAAGCTCTGGCAGAAACCCAAAGCCTCCCACATCTATACTGGCCTCCAGAAAACACAGGAGATGTTGGCTCCTATCCTTTGCTGAACCCAGCCCTGTCCTCACCAGCCCCCTCCTCTTCGCGAGCTGCCCGGGCAGGCTGTGGGCAAGCGGGGCAGCTCAGTGTGAGTCTCAGGTACCATCCTACCATGACCTCACTTGCCGGAAAGGGTAACAAGGGGCCAGAGGCATGAACCACTCAGAGGAGGAGGTAGGGGACAAGGTGGCACAGAGGTGACAGCAGGCAACCCAGCCGTGCCTGGCTCAACCCACGATCCCCATTTGATTTGCAGAAATGAATTAAAACTTAAGACAGCAAATCCCAGAACTGCTCCTGCTGGGGTAGGTCTGATCCACGAAGCTTCAGGATGAGAGATTCATTTGTCACCTCACCCCAGGTCGCAGCAAGGGCAGGCACATGCTGGGCAAACGCAGAGAGAGCACAGCCCAGGGACCACCCAAAGCAAAACCAACTCTGCTCCTGTCCCTCCTGCCACCAAGCGATGCTGCGAAGCCCCAAACCCTGCAATTAGGAGTGGGGAAGCCTCTGCAGCTCACACAGCTCGCGCATCGTCCCAAAGGCTCTCTGTGAGCCTGGCAGAAGAATAAGCCCAAACACTTCCACAGCACAACGCTGCATCATTAAGCTCTGGCTCCGTTTCATATCAGCCCATCCCGCTGCGGAAACCATGGCAAACCACAGGTACCTCATTTCACATGACTAAGATCCCACCACTCCTACGGCTGTAGACAAACTGCTCCCAGCCTCCGATAAAGTTTAGAAAAGCAGCAAAAATAGCAGGTGAAACTAAGTCAGGGAGGGAGGAGTGGGGGGAAATATTGCAAAACTCCCTTTTTAATCCACCCCGGAGCACTGAGCACCTGGAAACTTTGCAAAGACAGATGAAAAGTAGGAGGGGAGGGAGCAGCTCGCTGCTACTGAAAAGCGAGACAGTAAACTCCCTCCCCCAAGCAGGGAGAAGAAGGAAGCGTAAAGGGGGATGCATGAGAGACAGCGAGATGTGGGAGAGAGGCAGAGATGCAGAGGAGGGAGTGAATCTTGCTGGAATGTCCTTTCTCAAAGGTCATGTTTTGCTACATTAGGCAGAAATGTCAAGAGAAAATTGGATTCTGAAAGAGAAGAGAAAAAACAACAGGCTTTCCACGCAAATAAGGGAATCAAAAATAGCATGATCGTGTTATTACAATTTAGGACACAGAGAGATGGAGAAAGGAAACATCCTCACTAATGCAAGGAGCTTTGCCAGGCAGATGTGCTCCGCTTCTCATCTCCTGCAGTCCCTGAAAACCAGCTCCTACCACCTCCTCCATCCCCCAGACAAAAACCACAGCAAGTATGAGGCAAAGAGGAGATGGGTCTTCACTTGCACACATCTGGCAGGAGACTCTGCTCTCAAAGGGCAAAGCTGATGTTCAATCTGACCTGACTATCAGCTTTCTGCAGGGCTGGTCAGTGGGACAAGCACCAACAGCTTCATTTTCAATCAAGGACACACGTGGGGAGGAACATGTTTGTCATTGGAAAAAAACACCTTGGACAAATTAAAACCTCAGAAAGGTCCTGGCAATGGACCCTTGCAAAGGTCCCTGATCTCAGCACAGAGACAGACAGGCACTACACACATAAACACATATTAAAAATACATTATTTTGGTCACAAAAACTCCAAAAGTCAGAGATGCCAGGATTGGGTTTCCATGTGCAAAGCGTACACCTGCTGACTTCTGCCGCAAAAGATAGAGAGCTCCTATGGAGAAATCTCACTGCACAGCACTGATTTCTCCCCAGAATAGATCCATCCCGTGCGCCGGATGGGGCAGGTTTCCTGGGGAAGATAGCATGTGATTGTGTAATTAGAGACAGTGCTGCAGCACATGCATACGAGGAGATTTAATTACAGCTCCGCGGGTGAACCGAGCTCCGGCACTTTGTAACTCCTGGTCAGTGCTCACAAGGTTCCCCCTGTGCTCAAACCGAGTTTCCCAGCATTTTATAGAAAATAAATGGGGAGGATTGGGGAAATCAAGGCCCTCCCATGGCAGGACTAATCTTTTCCCAGCTACTGCTGCCCATTCTGGTTTCCAAGGTCAAAAGCCCATTGTTACCTCCAGATCCTCATCATTTGCAGTGATCTGAATCCCACCCTTCCTGCACCCATGGCTGGGCAGCACCAGGTCTCTCCTTACAGATCTACTTTTCTTCCCCACCCCATCCAGCCTGTCTCCCAAGCAGGCTGAATCACACTATCCATCGTCCTCCAGCCACTCACAAATACTTCTCAGCCCCAATTTTCTTACCCATCCCCAAATTTCCTATGACCTTTCTTGCCTTTACATTCTCCCACACCCAACCCCAGTCTCCCAAGATGACTTCTGCTCCTCGTCTCCCCTGTCCACTCCCAAAAATTTGCAAAACTTCTCCCTTCCATTTGGATCAAGAGCCACTCTGCCCACGTAAGGAAACAAACCAGACCAAAAGCAAGTCTTCCAAGCAGAATCTGCCCTTTGACAAAGTTCCTTCCCCTCCACTAAAGGAGGGCACAGGTGCTCTGTAACAGGAGCATCACCAGTATTTCCTAGCTTGAGCAAAACATCCCATTTCCCCCTCCTCCCTTCTGCCACCTCAAACATCTAAGCAGATTTTTATTTGAAACTAGAGAGAAATAAGAATAATAAAAAAAAATTAAAAGAAAAAAACAGCCAGGAGCAGACATCCAACACAGAAAACTTCAGCCTGAGCAATTAAAATCTGGCAGACTCATAGGAAAATGGAAGCAGTCCTGTAGCGGAGCATGCCAGACAACCTTTATAACAGCCTGTGCATCAGCTCCACCTGTAATAAAACACGGCACATCACGCATCGAGGAAACACAGGGGGAGGGAAGCAAAACACCTTCCCTGCATATTTCTCAGCAGAGAACAGGAACCTGTCTTTCTCAGGACAGACCTGCCATCAGCACTCCTGGAGCACGTTCAAACTGCTTCTTTGCCACGGGACATTTTCTCCATCACTCACAAGACGTTATTTTCCACGGAGACAGTCTTTAGAAATAGCTGCCAGGCTCCTTTTTGCCTCTGGAGCAGGTTTCAAAGGAGTTGGGTAGGGAAAAGGGGTTGGATGAAGTTTGCCTGGACCAGGTCCAGAGCAGCAGACACCGAACTGCTTCGTGACTCAGGCTCAACACCAGTCACTCTCCTCCTGCCCCAGCAGCCCTGCTCCTAGCCTCCTGCTTTGCAGCTGGCTTATCATGCCATGTCCCCACCAGCCTTCTCTACCAGTAACCCCAGGCACACCTCAACGGTGGGACATTATCACCCAGTGACAGCAAAGTCCCAGTTCTTGCTCTTTCTCTCCATTCATCCTCCTCCTGAGCTTGAAAAGAGATGGGTGAACGTGGGATAAGAGAGACGTCTGGATCCGTGCAACCCAGAACAAGTGGACTTCAGTGCAAGGGGAGACAGCATGTTTTCTCTTCCCTCAATAACCCAGCAGCCAAAAATGTTTCCACTATTAAAGCCATTTTTATTCGGCTAAATTAAGCCGGATGCCTCATTAATGACACCAACAAGCAGGAGCCCCTGTAATTAAACTGTAAGCTATATTATGCAGTTCAGCCCAACGTCATGGCAGAAACGCTGCTGCTGGGGAGGCACCCTCCATGCCTGTCCCTCCTCCACGCATCCCCATTCTCCGCTCGCCCCTCTTTCCAACCTGACACATTAACTTCTGTATGGGAGAAGTTTTTCACACGTTTTAATAACATGGTGCCACTCTGAAAATCCTGATCGGGGAGGGGGGAGGATTAACTGTGTGGAGCAGCTGGGGCTCAGGGAGCGTGAGCAACTGCCTGGCAGAAATGAGAGGCGGGATGCACATCCTCAGCTGTGGTCCCCAGCACTGGATATGCCGGTAGCATTGAGTGGGACTCCCTTGATATCCTCTGTGCTCTGGGCACAACGGATG